TCCAATGGCCGCCGTGGCCGGCGCGCTGCAGCCAGCGCACCGCGCTGATCCGATGGCAGGAGCCAGGAGCCAGGTGCTTTTCCTGGTCTCCCACGGGGTGCAGGGCCCAAGCACCTGGGCCATCCTCCAATAATGGCCACAGGTTCTTTCTTACACCTTCCATCTGTGTACTTATTTATTTTAAACTTTGTCTAAGACTCTAAACTTTGTCCTATATCACTCCCAATGTCCAGGACAGTCATTCCAGTACTATTTTCCCCCTTTACAAAGATACGGTTTCCTCTAGAGAAGTCACCTTAATTAAACTCAATCTCAGACTGTCTCTTTGAATTAAAGAACAGATCAGGGCCTGCGATGTGGCATAGCAGGTAAAGCTGCTGCCTGCAGTGCTGGCTGGCATTCCATATCAGCACCAGTTCCTGTCCCAGCTACTCTACTTCCAGTTCAGTTCTCTGCTAATGGCCTGGGAAAGCAGTAGAAGATGGCCCAAATGCTTGGGCCCCTACACCCGTGTGGGAGACCCGGAAGAAGCTCTTGGTTCCTGGCTTCAAATTGGCCCAGCTCTGGCTGTTGCAGCCATTGGGGAGTGAACCAGCAGATGAAGACCTCTCTCTCTCTGCAACTCTGCCTTTCAAAGAATAAATAAATCTTAAAGTTACACTGTGAACATCCTTAGAACATTATATTGAACTCGGCAGTTTGAAACAAAATAGCTTATTGTCTCCTTTTGAAGATGTAAAAGCATGATGTTTCATTTAATTTTAATTGTATAGCAAGTAGTTTCATAAGAAAGTTATCATGTTTATACTTGTAGGTGGCTTGAGAGATTCTCTTGAGCTTTTACTAGAAACGCAGGCTCACACAATCTCTGTTCTTCTATGGTCTTCCTCAGTTATCTAGATAGAAATTCTAAAACCAATTTGTTTCAAGTGAGGATAAATTGCTACCTCCTCATCAATAATCAGAAAATTCCATAATTTTATAAACCTGGACACCAGAGCCTCTAATAAAGCCATTCTCTCATTACATAGAACTGAGTGGTTCTGTTCAAGTCAATTCAAATTCTATCTATAAGTACCCACTGGGTGCCAGCAGGTCTTTACATCCTCTTTACCACTACAGACTACATTTTTCTAGCTAATTCCAATATTTTGGTAGCTATGGAATTTCCCCTTCCCCAATATCAGATCATTGTGAAATTTTTTGCTATTGTCATCTTCCAGATGAACTAACTGCAAGATGACCCAATTTGAGTTCAAAGTTAAACATATCTTCCCATCAAACTGATGCTTTCTCCTCTGGTATGCAGAACTGGACTGGGGAGTAAAATGCCAAGAATTGCATAACACAACTAACATTTCCTATTCAGCAGAAGTCAGAGAAACACTAAAGGAACAGTTCATGCGTCAAAAGGAAACAGACATTTTATTTGAAGCATATATTTTCAGATTAAAAAAAAACACAGGTAAACAGGAGTTTTGGAATGAGATTTTCTCAAAGGATAGTAATTTCTCCCACCAATCACAGTAAAATTAGTGTTAGGTGCATGTGTCTTCTATTAGGAAAGGTGACATTTAGCTCATTGACTTTTGATGAGATATTAGCCAAGTTCCTGCCATTAAAAACGATACTTCTAAGCTAAGTAAACATTTTCAATAAAGCAGACTTTCTACATGACATTATCTATTTAGTCCCACATTTAGACAATGTGAAAACTGAAGGATGTGATGGATATTATGTAAAAAAAATAAACAAAAAGACCCCACACTTGGCCAATTAGCTACAAACCTTAAAATTAGATGCTGTGCATTTTACTATGCTGTAATGCAATCAAACCTAGCATGCGGTGTCAGATGTATCCTTGCTCTTTCCCAAGTCAGGGTTAGTGGCTGGGCTTACTTAGAAACTGCATGGAATCATATAGCCTGCATGGAAACATACAGCCTATGATATCTCTTCTAAAAATTGTACACTACCCAAAACCAAGAGTTTTCCTTTGATATGTGGCCAGAGGAGATTAAGAAACAAACAAAAACTGAATTTTCATCTGTTGTTAACTTCTTTTTCTTGTTTGATAAGCATAGAAGAAACTTACTTCTCTTTGTCACGTGCATAAGGGAGGCCCTTGACATCAGTACTTACAGGGATCTCAGTGAAAGGGATCCCTGTCTACAACAAACTGCACACAAATCATTATAGCTAGTTTTGCATCTGGCACTAAACAGTCATAAATGTTAATGAACAAAGGGTACAATCATTCTTCACTTTTCAATTTGGGGGAAGGGAAGCAGGGAGAAAAATGAAAGCTCTGAGTTTCATGAGTAATTCTACAATAAACAACCATGCAAGCACGAAATCAGATCTCTTTAAGCAACAAAAGGCAAAGGACTTCACAAACTACACAAAGCAAAATTTTATACTACAGATACTCCAAAACATTTTTAGTGTTCTTCAAAAATAAAGGCAATTCAAGTATAATGATAGTACAAATAATTCTATTTTCTACATAAAATATTAACACAAGTATAGGGCTAGTGAGGGAGTTATGATGAAGGAGGCTAAGTAAAAGACAAGAATGAAAAGAACTGCTCCGGCCGGCACTGCGGCTCACCAGGCTAATCCTCCACCTGCCGCGCCGGCACACCAGGTTCTAGTCCCGGTCGGGGCGCCGGATTCTGATCCCGGTTGCTCCTCTTCCAGGCCAGCTCTCTGCTGTGGCTTGGGAGTGCAGTGGAGGATGGCCCAAGTCCTTGGGCCCTGCACCCGCATGGGAGACCAGGAGAAGCTCCTGGCTCCTGGCTTCGGATCAGCGCGGTGCGCCGGCCGCAGCGGCCACTGTGGGGTGAACCACGGAAAAAAGGAAGACCTTTCTCTCTGTCTGTCTCACTGTCCACTCTGCCCGTCAAAAAATAAAAAATAAAAGAACTGCTCCAAACTACCCCCAGTTTGATCAGCTTTGACAACTAAGATATATCCTGTCTCTGATATTTTGCATTTTGCAATGAATCACATATAAACAACCCTTCCCACCACACACACACACACACACACACACACACTGGAACCAACATAAACCCATTAGCCTTTTCTGCCTTCTCCATTATATACACACTGGAAATGGAAACAAAGGGTCTAAAAGAAAAAAATCCAGCTGTGCATTCAAACCATTTCAATTGTTTCAACCTGTGGGAAAAGTTTTGTTCTAATACAATTGTTGTTGTCCTGGAAGGGAAGTAGAGGTAAAGGAGGTGGGTGAAGAGACTGAAATCACTGAAACACTTCCTAAGAGGACTATATTTTGGGTAATATTTCTTTAATAAAGATGACTGAAAACATGGCACCACTTACCACACTAAAAATTCCTAGTAAGCAACAAACAGCCTCACACTCGAGAAGTAAAAATAAAGGGGGAAAGCATTAAAAAGTTGATCTTTGAATGACAATTGTATACCCATTATAACCTCTACATGGGCATTTTTGAGAGCTGCTCTCTTCATAAGTAATAAGAAAACAACATATAAGGTAAAATGCATAGGTAACAACTTGCATGTTTGTTACATTGGATTTTATTTGGCTTACATTTTATTGATGACTTTTTAAACTTGCAATGCTTTTTTTCTTTCAGATTCTGCTATAGACATCATGATGTAACCAAGTGAGAGAAATTGGATCTGATACAACAGATTACATTTGTTGATAACTAATCTTTCCAAGAGTTTTATTTCAGAAACAATCAATCTGAACTAACATCAAAAGTGAAAACGTGACTTTAGGAAGGCAAACAAAAGCAGCAATGAACAATATGCCAAGTTAGATGACAGGTAAAATGTTAAGCACAAATACAGTTGAAAAGTCACAATATACAAAAGCACACATGTAATTTAAAAACATAAGGAATCTCTAGGATGAGAAAAAGTCAATATATTACCCTACCTTTACCAATCCAGAATCCTTTGAACTTCAGTATTATTATTCTATTTTATAGTCTATGATTCACTTTTGTAAAATAATTATTAAATATTATCAATTGATGATCAACACTATTTGTTAGTCACTTCAGTTAGCAAGTGTTCTTGCTTCAGAAAACAAACATTAACCAAACTGCGTGACCCACCCAGAATTTATTGCTTCAGAAAGTAAGCATGAATTTCACTGCCTTGATTTTGTACCTAATGAGGAAGAAAAGCACATACATTTAATTCTGAGAAGTAACTGAATTAGAAGCCAGTAGAAACCCCCAATGCAATATTTCCATATAATGATATGTTTCTTAATATCTCACTGGAATGATTACAGACAAAAAACAAATTCTTAAAATATCCCGCACAGTTGGTAATTATAGCTAGAATATGTAATCAAAACTGAAAGACATATATAATATCCACGTGTTATTAAACAATGATTAAGCTCTGATTGGGAAATCTACTGGCTACAGCTAATCTCTTAGTATAATCATGGCTGCCTGCCAGACCACCATGTTTTAGGAACAGTTATTTCTTCAAGAAATTCTTCTTCAGGCAATTAGCTAATATTTCCAAAGTTGGAGGCTTCAAAGTTCTGCCTGTTAGAGATTCAGTACAAACAGGAAGAACTAAAGCTCACTGATAGTTATCAAAATCTTTCATTTAAGATGTAATGCTGCACCCTCAATTAGGAGGAAAGGGTATATATTTTTCTAGGATTCCTATCTTCTCATTTGTAAATGTTTGCTCCCGGATGTTTATTCACTAGAAAATGTAACCAACTCAAATTAGGCCCTTAACATTTCATTGTCCACTGAGAGTACTACTGGTCATTGAAGTTTAACAAAATTCCACTGGTTTCCCAGTATTTGCTCAGTGGTAGGCTAAAACTTCATTTTTATTTTGGCTACCTGCCAACATAGCTAGAATACAAGTGCTTCAGTTGAAAGATTTTCCTAGTTAAAGGAACAGATACCTTCTGGATGCTCACAAAAACCATATATTTTTGACCAAATAGAGAAATTGCTAGGAACTTACCAGAATTTCTCTTTGACACCAACTTTAAATTTGTGCTGACTACAGAACAGACCAGAAGGGCCAAAAGAAATGGTGGCTTCATCATTCAATTTCCTTCGCGGCTGAAAAGTCAAAAAACGGATATGAAATTAGAACCACATATCTTGGCCTTGACAAAACAACAGCTACAGATCAAAAAACTCTAATCTGAAAATTTTAAATCTTAAATGATCTGAAATCCAAATCCTTTTGAGTATCACATTATCACTCAAAAAGTTGTATATTTTGGAGCATTTTAAGTTTTAGATTTTGGGATAAGGGATGCTCATCTAGTAAATTCTATGAGAATATTCCAAACTCCAGTATCTGAAACACTTCCCAGTCTTAAACATTTCAGATAAGGGATGCTCAATTGTACAATTTTACATTTCTCAAAGATTCATTACAGAAACAATGACATTTTGATGACATCTCACATTATGTTTATGCAAATGGGAGAAAATCTCAAAGTTCATAGTTGAATTATGTCAGTTACCTCTTATAACACCCTTTCAACTGCTTTTTACTGGATTTAGAGTAAAATATGAACATCTTTGATTTTGAGGTGGACTCTCAAGATGTTCCTTTAATCTTATTTTGTAATACTCTCTTCATTTTGGCTATGTTCTAGTCACTGCAGTCATTTTATTTGGCCCTGGAACTTACTAAGATAATTTCCTTTCTCATAGCCTTTGCACTTTTGTCTTCCACCTGGGATACACTGCCCTAGTCTTCACACAGTTAGTTCTTTAATATCCTACATATCTCAGTCCCGCAGAAAGGTCATTTTCATATCCAATCTCAACTCTGTCATTCTCTAGTTTACTTGTTTATTTATAAGACTGATGGGTATTTATACTCATTTACTTTATTTATGCTATGGAAATACTTTTTACTCAACTTTCACACTGACATTTATAATGAACATTACTGGGCTTCAAAGAACTGAAATTAAACTGTTCCAAAACCAAAAATAACTGAGAAAAGCACATAATTTGGGATATTGTTAAGTCTCACCACCACTTAACAAAAAGGTACTCTAAAGCACAACTAACAAATCATTTGGGTAAAAAAAGAAACCATTAAGACTTTGCAGTAGGGACCTTTGCTGAGGCGCAGTGGGTTAAAGCCCCAGCTTGTAGCACCAGCATCCCAAATGAGCATATCAAGTTCTGGCTGCTCCTCTTCCGATCCAGCTCTCTACTATGGCTTGGGAAAGCAGTAGAAGATGGCCCACGTGGGAGACCGTGGCTCCTGGCTTCAGATCAGCTCAGCTCTGGCCGTTGCAGCCATTTGGGAAATGACCAGTGGAAGGGAAGACCTCTCTCTCTCTTGCTCTCGCTCTACCTCTCTCTAACTCTTTCAAATAAATAAACATTAAAAAAAAAAGACCTTGTAGTAAATGGTTTCCTATACAGTGGCTCATCTAGGATCTATTAAGAATCAAAACACAGAACCTGGTATGGCACAGCAGATTAAATCTCTTCTTGGGATGCCAGTATCCAATATTAGAGTCCCAGTTCCAGTCTTGTCTACTCCTCTTCTGATCCAGCTCCCTATTAATTCACCCGGGAAGGAAGCAGAGGGCAGCCCACATCCTTGGGCCCCTGATGCCCACATGGGAGACCCTGATGGAGTTCATCACTCTTGTCTCTGTCCTGGTTTAGTCCTGGCCATTGCAGCTATTTAAGGAATGAAACAGTGATGGAATATTTTTTTCTCTCTGTCTTTCAAGTAAATAACTCAATCTTAAAAAAAAAAAGAATACAAGCACTACAGAGGTACACTGGACTCATCATAAACCCAAGATATAAAATTGGCCATGGGGACTATGAGGCTGAAACAATAACAATTCCTGAAATAATGAATGGGAGAAAACCTCAAGAGGAAGCCAGAACAGCCTCCAGAAAACATTTAAAAATCCAGAATTCTCTATGAAGATTTTTTTTGTTGAGTGACTGATTTATACCTAAAGGTACAGAACCTTATCCAGAACACAGCAGTAACAGGTTGATATGAAGTTCCTCTTTTCCCAGAACTGACCGCAAATATCCACTCGATATCTTAAACTCAGAAAACTTTCCGTTGGGCATCTGAGGCTACCAGCTCAGTGAACCAAAACAGCTAGCTCTTTTACACACCACCCATACCCATAAATAAAGTAGAAAAAGGATATCACTTTTGATAAATAAAACAGAGTTTTCTGGCCGGCGCCGCGGCTCACTAGGCTAATCCTCTGCTTTGCGGAGCCGGCACACCGGGTTCTAGTCCCAGTCGGGGCGCCGGATTCTGTCCCGGTTGCCCCTCTTCAAGGCCAGCTCTCTGCTGTGGCCAGGGAGTGCAGTGGAGGATGGCCCAAGTCCTTGGGCCCTGCACCCCATGGGAGACCAGGATAAGTACCTGGCTCCTGGCTTCAGATCAGCGTGGTGTGCTGGCTGCAGCGTGCCGGCCACGGCAGCCATTGGAGGGTGAACCAACGGCAAAGGAAGACCTTTCTCTCTGTCTCTCTCTCTCACTGTCCACTCTGCCTGTCAAAAAACATATAGAGTTTTCCTTTCCAATATGACCATGTATATTCCATGAGTCATGCTGGACATCCTCTATACCACTAGCGCATGGGTAAGTAAACCTAGGGAGAGATGATAAGTTGGAATTTTTCAGATAACAAAGGAGACAGGGCTAATAATCACCAACTCCCAACACATCCCAACTTTCTGGGTCCCAAGAGCTATAAAAGATGGATTTGACATATTCCAAAGGTCCAAGTTGGGCTTAAATAGATGATACCGCCAGAGGTTTTATAACATGAGTCAATATGAAAGCATGTGAAAGTAAAGTCATATGATGGAATTAGCTAAAAACCTAACAGAAGATGTAATAAAATTTTTAAGGGTCTTCTAATACCCAGATGATATGTGTGGCAAAAGTTTGCATCAAAAGGCTGTTAGAATATTTGCTTACACAGATCCCATAAGCAACTAGAAGAGCAATTATGGCCAATTAAATAAATACACACAGTCACAAACACCTGTCTTTCCCTCTCCTGATTCCCTAGCTACTCCCCTCCCAATGTATCACCAAAGAATGCACAGGAAAAGAGGATGGAAGATATGTTTTTTAAAAGAAAAAGAAGAAAAATCTACCAAGCACCCCTCAAACTACTAGCCACTATATTCAGAGATCTCATCTGAAGAAAAAGATAGCATTTGAATCATATGAACTCCGGCTAAAACAAAGGCATTAAAGCCAAAATGAGACTATTAAAGTAGCTGAAAAGTTATAGAATCAGACTGAAATGTTTACCACAGTCCCTGTATTCAATTTAAAAAAAAAGTCAGTGTAACATAACACAGTAAATAGCAGTTAGAGGGAAAAATAATGTCACTTTACATTGATATGCCAATGAATTGAGACACTTAAGGACATATATTAGTTTAGGTCTTTTGTCTACTTCTTGTCCTTTAGAATGTAAGCTCCATAAGGGTAACTAGTCATTAGCTGTTGTATCCTCAGCACCTAGCATAGAGCCCGACACGTAATTGGCGACTAGTACATATTTTTAAGAGCAAGACCTATGAAGGTAACATCAAATTTTCAAGTAATACAAATGAACAGAAGCTTTCAATGCTATTTTTTCCAAGTTACTCATTTATTTGAACCAGAACATCTTTAACATGTGATTATCCAGATATGATCTGTATCTAATCACCTGCTATCACAAACACTGTTGGTACCCTCTTCTACCTTAAAGTCATCTGCAAAAGTCTTCCTGGGGCCAGCACTGTGGTGCAGCAGGTTAAAGTGCTGCTTCCAGCACCAGCATCCCACATAGGCAATGGTTTGATTTCCAGATGCTCTACTTCTGACCCAGCTCTCTGCTATGGCCTGGGAAAGCAGTGGATGATGGCCCAAGTCCTTGGGCCCCTGCACCCACATGGGAGACCCAGAAGATACTCTTGGCTCCTGGCTTCAGATCAGCTCAGTTCCAGCTGTTGCAGCCTTCTGGGGAGTGAACCAGCAGACAGAAGGCATGTCTGTCTGTCTCCATTTCTGCTTTTCAAATAAAGTAAATAAATCTTTAAAAAAAACCCTATGTTTTTCAGCCAGATTTCTCTGACTGAAAAAAACCATAGGAGGTAACTATTATGTTTATGATAAAAATATAATTTATTGAGCATTTTATGCATGCCAGACACTGTGCTAAAATGTTACATGGCATTTCAGCTTCAATAATCTTGTGAAGTATTGTTATTCCCTTTTTACCTTTCAGGAAACTGACACTTGTGACTCACCCAAGGTCACAATATTAGAAAGCTGTGGGGACAAAAAGATTTGACTTTAGATCTGTGTGACCACACAGTCCAATCTTAGCCACTGCTAAATTCTTTTTGCCAAAGGATTCAAATGCTGTGGGAATCACAGAGCAAGTCTAAGATTATAAAATGTGGCTGGCTCCTTGCCTTCAAGGAGCTATAACCTAACTATGGAGGATGCACACAAACTAGACTGCTTAGTCAAGGGGAAGACAGTGAAGAAGAGCCTATATATGTTAAATGGTAAGGGAATGTACGTGGGAAAAGTATTTTGTAGCACATTCAGTAGGTAATTCAAATTTCCCATTGAAAGGAAAAGTATGCCAAACTGCCAATTCAAATAGCCAAAAAGAAAGACAGCACAATCAATCTCCTAGCAGCACTCATCTGCAACAGCAGTAGGCCTGAAATATCATCATTGATCAAGGAATGTCTCAACACTGTGACCACTAGGCTCCCAACATACGGTTCTACACATCTGTTTAAATACTAAAAGTGTCAGAAGCAGCTCAAGTTATCCCCTAGAAATGTTGCACTGAAATTTAAGTTTATTACATTTTAACTTTTTCCCCTTGGTGATTTTACAACCAACTTACTGTTGTGTGAAGAAAGTGAACAGGAGCATGTATAATACCTACTAAGGTGGAAATTATGCTGCTATTCAATTATTTCAATATTACTCCCTCCCCCCCCCAAAAAAAATCAATCTTTCTCCCCTACCATGACTATAAATATTCAATGGTTTTCACTCCTGAAGTTCATATTCCCGA